ACGTACACTTGAGAAAAATGTGTATCCTGCTACTTTTGGGTGGAGTTTTCTTTGATTCCTGTACCTGTTAAAGTCCATTTGGTCTAGTGTATTGTTCAATGCCTCTGTTTCCTTATTTGTTTTCTGTCTGGTTGATCTACTGATGTGAGTCATGTGCTAAAGTGTCCTAAAATAAAGGTGTCATAATCTACTTCTCCTTTTAATTGTTAGTACTTTTTTTTACATATTTAGGTGCTCCTATGTTGGGTGCATAGATATTTATGTTATATCCTCTTGTTGGACTGATCCCTTTATTGTTATATTATGTACTTGTCTCTTGTTACTTTCTCTGTTTTGAAGTCTATTTTCTCTGAAAGACATACTACAACTACTCATTTTTTCCCTATTATTTTCATGAAATATCTTTTCCATCTCTTCACTTTCAGTATGTGTATGTCTTTGGGCCTGAAACGAGTCTCCCATAGGCAGCATATAGACGAGTCTTGTTTCTCTATCCATTTTACCACTCTGTCTTTTAACTGGTGCATTCAGTCCATTAACATTCAAGGTAATTATTGATAAGTATGTATTTATTAACATTTTATTAATTGTTTTCTAGTTGTTTTTGTAGTTCCTCTCTGTTTCTTTCTTCTTCTCTTACACTCTTAGTTGATGGTTTTCTTTGGTGTTGTGATTGAATTTCTTTAAAAAAATTTTTCTGTATCTACTATAGGCTTTACGTTTGTGGTTACCATAAGGTTCAGTTTCCTAAATATATAACAGTCTATACTAAGTTGATGATCACTCTGTTTCAAAAACAATCTAAAAAGTACTTTTTTGTTCTTCCTCCCCGACGCTTTATGTATTAGATGTCATAATCTTCATTTTTTTGTGTGTAACCCTTGACTGATTTTATGTACAGTCGATTTGACTACTTTTGTTTTAAATTTATACTTACTTGTTAATTGGTCTACTACCTTTACTGTAAGCTTATTTTCACTGGTGAAAACTATTTAGGCTTAGAACAAATTTATCTACTGAAGTACCTTTAGCATATCCTTTAATGCTGGTTTAATGGTTATAAATTCCTTCAGCCTTCATTTATCTTGGAAAAGTTTAATCTCTCCCTCAGTTTTGAATGATAATCTTGGTGGGAGAGAATTCTTGGTTGAAGGTCCTTCTGTTTCAGCACATTAACTATTCCATGCCACTCCCTTCTGGCCTGTAAGGTTTCTGCTAAGTCTGCTGACAGCCTTACAGGGTTTCTCTTATAAGTAAACTTTTTTTCTCTCTCTCAATATTCCCTCCTCATCCTTAATCTTTGTCGTTTCAATTATTTTGTTCTGACATTGTCTTCCTGGGGTTCTTTTTGTTAGGGGCTCTCTGAACTCCCATGACCTGCACGTCTATTTCCTCTTCAGGACTGGGGAAGTTTTCAACAATCATTTCCTCATCACACTTACTATCTGGGTCTCTCTCCTCCTTCTGGGACCCCTATTAGGAAAATGTTGTTTCGTTGGGACTTTTCACACAGCTTTCTCAGCATCCTCTCATTTCTAGAGGTTCTCTCTGTTCCTCAGCTCCGCTGTTGTCCTGTTCTCTGATTTCCATCTACTTGCAGCCATCTGTTATTCATTCCCTCCACTGCATATTTTATTTCAGTTACTGTATTCTTCCGCTCTTCCATCTTTGTTGAGGTCACCCCTGAGATTTTCAATACTTTTCTGCAGATCAGTAGGTATAGTTAGGACTATTACTTTGAGATCTTTATCAAGAAGATTGGTGATCTCTGCTTCATTTAGCTCCTTTTCTGCTGTCTTATCCTATAATTTTCTTTGGAACATATTCCCCTGCCTTACTTTGTCAGGGTTTCTGTTTCCTCCTTTGTTAGATGGATCGGCTGTGCTTCCTGGTCTAGAGAGTAATGGCTTTATGAGGGTGCCCTGTGGTGCCCAGAAGCCCAGGACTCTCTCTTCTCCAGTGCCTAGATCCCCTTTGCTGTGGAGCCCGTTGGTGGTGGGCAGTGGGCGGGGCCCATCTGTCGGCTGGCAGTGGTCTGTCTCAGCCTACCTCAGCCGACCCTCTGTGGTGGTGACAGTGGCTCCTACTGGGACTGTTGGGGGCAGGGCCACCCTGCCTGTCCTGCAGCATTGGCAGCCCTGCTAGGCTGACAGGGTGGGCAGGGAAGTCATGTGGGTGGCAGGACATGGGGACACATGACAGTGAGTTGTGCTGTCTTGTGACAGAGTGGCACATGGACGCACCTTTGCACAGCAGAGGGTGTGGGACGTGTGCCCCACCAGGCTGGAAGACGAAGGGGCGTGCGGAGCCGGCTCACGCAGGTGCTTCCCCGCTTGGGCTGCGACAGGGCCAAGAGAGCTGGGAGAGCCTCCTGCTGGGCTGAGCCGGCGGGTGCGCAGGGAAGCGCTTCAGGAATGAGGCACTAGCAAGGGGGTCAGAGCATTTGGGGGTTCCCACGGGTGCCCAGCTTGGACCGCCGGAGGGCTGGGGAGTGTCATGCATCTGCCCTTTCTCCTGCAGCGAGCTCCACCCACCCCTCACCCCTCTGCCACCTCTCCTGCTGGGTCTCAGCAGAACCGGTGGGGTGCGCCTTCCTCCCCAAGAGGCCGGACCCCGGTCTCCCAGGGAGCTCCCACTCCCCCTGGGGTCCTCCGACCACCAACACCGTGCAGTGTGGACTCGCGCTCCCGGGCATCTCTCCAGGGCTGGGCGCGCAGAGTGGGCGGCTCTTCTCCCTGCTCTGTTCCTCTTCCTCCCGCCTGTGGGCCAAGATGGGGGAAAGGCTGGGCTCCCGACTCGCTGCGGCTCTGCTCTTTACCCTTCTGGGTGGTCTTCTCGGCTTCCTCCCCACCTGTAGGGGGTCTGCTCTGCTGTGTCCAGGTTGTTTTCAGGGTTAGTTATATTCGCTCTAGTTCCTTCCTTGATGTGTGTGGGGGAGGTTGCCGCCTTCCTTCCAACCCCACCGTCTTTTCTCCTCCATCTCCTGACTTGCTTCTAAACCCATGAAGACAGGTATTTTGCTCAGCACTGTACTAGCTGGGTCCTAGGGACACGCCATGTGGCTGATGAGTACACCCCTTCTGTGGATACCATTCTTTCTTATCACTCGCCCTCTCCTCCAGTAGCCGTGTCTTCTCCCCTTCAAACCATTTAAATTTACTGTCTTAAAAATTGCACTACCACTTCTGGGTACCCTTCACATTTCTCCACGTGCCATCATTCCTATTTTTACTCCAATTTGTTTTCCACTCCAGTTGCCTACTGAAATGGTCACTCTGAACTTCCCCACAACTTCCTCCTTAAGTCCAAGGGCCCTAATCTCCACCCTTATTATCTTCAACTTCTTTGTTACTTATGTCAGCTGATTCATAAGTTGTGGCCACCACAAGGAAGCCATTGTATTAAGTATTGAACACGAAACTGAGCCACAAGCATTTGTCCCTCCAGGGGTCAGGATCTGGCAGGGGGACTGGAAGAGACACAGAATCACACACATACCCCTTTGGCTACAGTCAGGGTAAGAGCCAAAAGGAAAGGAACAGGGTGAAGTCTTCTGACACCTGAAAATGTGCATGGATGTCAGCCATGAAAAATTAGTAAGATTTTTTTTTTTTAGTCAAAAGAGAAGAGCCATTTAAGGAGTACAGGCCCTAAAAGTGAGAAAGAGCTTGATGCCTTTGAAAAGCAATGCAGTGGACTAGGACAGAGAGGACAAAACAAAAACAGATTAGGCTGTGGCCAGGGGCCGTGCGCACGCCCCTCACTCCTGCACTCAGGCAGCTGCGCTGAGCCAGCGCTCACTAGGTCCCAGGCACTGCACACAGTGCTTTATAAAAAGTATTGTGATTTAATGCTCTTGTAGAGTTAGGAATTTACATCCTTAAATCACACTTGAAAAAGTAAGTACTAGAGAAGTTAAATAATTATCCATGGGGTAGTTTTGAGAAAGGAGTGAAAAAAAAATTATTTCCTATGCATTGTAACACTCACAGTGAGAATAATTTACTTAAAAACCTGTTTACAAATCCTAACTTTAAAGTTTCCTTTTACTTTATTTTTTTCTCTTAAGGTTTAAAATTTGGTTTAGAGACCTAAGTGGACATGAAATGGGTATAGAAGACCAGAAAGTTCCTCAAATAAATCTCTCAATTAAAAATACATTTTACACATTTTCACATCTTTCTCTGAAAAATAATCTGATGAGTCTGTTTTGATTTACCATTAGTTATATTGGAATTAACATGCAATTAAAAATAGATAAGATAACTCCATGGAAGTTTTTTGATAAGGGTTTCACTGCAACTATCTTTGTCAAAAATGTCATCACTTCAATTTTAAAGTTATTGTACCAACCTGGAGGTAACTGCAGTGGCACCAATTAATAATACATTTAAACATACATGCCAAGTACTGACTTTTCTAATCAACAAACATACCTTTGAATTAACATTTCTAACTATCCAACACACTGTCGTTAAAATTTGCTATTATTTAATCACGTGCACACACGATCTAACAAATGCTTCCTTGGTACACATCCCGCGAGTGACACTGGCTGTTCTCCACCACCAGCTGCCTGGGATGAGGTCCTGACCTGTGCGGCACACCCACCACCCTCCCACCAGCCTGGCTCACAGGACCCCACTCGGATCTTTCAGTCCAGCCTTTCCAGGCACACCAGCAACCTGCACTCCCTCTGGGAGAGGAACAGTCAGACACCTGTGCGTTAGCAACACATCACAGTGAAGGAACTCTGGACTCCTCATAATTTTAGCAAACTTTTCTTATTCAAAGACAGAAAATGATGTATGGAGGAAAAAAGGAACACAGGAAGTTATGCCTTAGTTTAGCACATACTTTACCACCCTCAACAGCTTCAATCCTTAGGCCTGCAAATGGGACAGGCATGGAAATCAGTAAGAACCCCTTCTGGAGGCTGAGTGCTAAGCAAAATAAACAATGGTAGACTTTAAGGGAAAAAAATCACAGATGCACAAAAATTGTTTTTGTACTTGTTTTTTAATTTTATAATTTTATTTATATTAGGATACTGTACAATTTTCAAAGCTAACAGAATCTTTTTAGTATGTGTATTTGAGGCATAACAAAATAAAAGTATTTCACAAAAGAAGTCCATATTACAGTACTATTGAAATAGGAGGCACAGGATAATTATGCATCTGTGGGTCATAAACACCATACATTCATTTTAAAGAAAACACTTAATATGAATAATATCTTGGTTAAAATAAATATCATGTAAATGTTAACAGCAACACCTGAAATATTTTGATAAAAGGTGTTTTGTAATAGATACTATGTTGAAGGGTAAAGCATTCATGAAATGGCTGCAGTATTTTACTAAATTTATAGTCACTGCACTGTTGCACGTTATTTATATAGGGATGCCCTTCATCCACCATTCCCAAACCTCAGCACTCATTACAAAGTTGCCCTGCATGTCCCCTGGTGACCTGGTATCAATGCCTAAATAAGATTCAGAACCAGGTGTACCTTTCATTTCACTGTTTCTCAAATAAATTCCAATGTTTTACTTAATCAATACAAAATTGACTTGTATACAGAAATATAAAGAAAACATTTTACAGGTGATTATAAAAATGAAAGCTTCTCATCATCTTCATAGTTCTTCAAAATGATCCCGTTCAAAATTAAAAGTTGTTTTTTATAGTGGTTCCTTCAGGAAAAACATGAACACTTAGATAAAAGAGATATGATATCCAAAACAAAAAGTTTCCACGGGTAGAAAATAATAATGGATTCCCCTGATCACTACATTCTTCCCAGCTATTTCTTTCTAGCAGACAAATTCATGGAAAAGAAAAGCGTAAATCTTTGCTTAAAAGTCACTGTGAGGGGTTAAGCCAATGAATTTTAGATCCATGTATTTTTAAAGATTACAAGAAGGCGAGTATCTGTTCCAACTAGAGAACATTTTGTCTCAGTAAGTTAAAATACCTTTAAATGAACATGAGACTAATGGCCAGTAAACACTCCACTCATACTTCTGGGCCACGTCAGCGGAGGCTTGCAGATGTCACGCCACTAGAATTTGGTAAAAACAACGTACCCAACCCTCATATAAAGAAAGGATCAACCAGGTCTCCTTTGCCTAATCCCAAGATAAAATTACCCTTCAGATACCATAACTGATTATATTTTTGGAGAAAAAAAAAGTTTGTACTTTTGCCCTTACACATTTTTAAAGTTTACAGATGACTTGAAAGCATTCAAATGTTTGTAAGAAAAATACTCACATGAAGAGACAAAAGTTGCCATTCCAGCAGCTAAAAGCAGGTATTCTCTGAACACGTGGTCTCACACTGGCAGGGTCACCCATTCAAAGGTCAGGTGGTGGCACGTCACCCTTTACCGTGACTGCCACTCGGCCTTCTGGCTTCACAATCCCGTGAGGACCTGGTCACCACTCACAGGAAGGCACTCGGGCAGAGCGGGTCTCCAGCAGCGCATGGGCTGACCCTGCCCACTTCCTTAAACTAAATGAAGCATCACCATCTCTGTCCACCTTCATGCATGGATACTGTATTTTGCTTAAAAGCCTCCCAACAGAAACCTCATAAGAATTCTGGCTGTGGTAATGGCCAGTTTTCATGTCTTTAAACATATTCTAAATTACAACCTTGTCAAACGAACTGAAACTGTACCAGCCGTCACGGGCATAGCAGAACACACACCCTTCCTTCCTCTTTAACAAGACACAACGCATGCAGATGGGGTGGCCAGATTCTAAAAGTTTAAGAAATGTGTTCAATCAGGAGAAGTGTCGGTATACCAAATATTTTTTTAAAGGGTGTAATGTTCTCAGAAAATCTGAAACATTTAATGGTTAAAATACACATATGATATAAATAAGAAAGTAACCTGAAGAATATAAAAAAATTTCTAAAGGGGACCAATCAGAACTTCAATAAAATCTAAATAAAAACATAAGCTTACACAATAGTGTAATTATGAGTAGAGCATTTAAATTTATAAAGAAGTTGAAATATAGTACTATGAGATTACTCAAAGAGTATTTTTCAAATGTACAAACAATAATAAAAACAAAAAAAGCCTCGGGCAATGTGCAAACTTTCAAAAACCTATCAAACCAGCCAAACAACTCCTTAACCACTTTTTAAATGGATTCATTTATACCATTTTAATGCAAAGAGAATTTCAAAGATACTAAAACAAAAGAAACTTAAGCAAAGACTCTTCAGTGTCTGACTCACATTTTGTCCCCAAATCTTTTCACATTTAGTAGTTGTACTTTGAATGTTTCCCAAATAGTTTATGTCTACATTTATCTTAAGAATTATATTTGAAAGCTATAATGTCAAGAACTGAAATACATACTTCAAACTTTTAAAAAGAAAATGATCACAAAGTTCACAATTGTGTTCATCCCAAATGTCCACAAATGACTAAAAAGAAAGCAAGTCACCTGTCCGGCTCCTCAGGCTGCGTCTGTCCTGACGAGCACCAAGTGGCACCTTCAGTATTTGGCACTACCTGAACACAACTTATTAGCAGAAAACTATTAGCAGAAAAATTCTAAAAACCTTCTGTCATTAAAAGCATCGTATTTCACTTACTCCCCCCAACACGCAATTTGATTGCTCCAAAGTCTCAGGGGGTTTGCAAGAAGGTGACTTAAACTGGTACAAAATGAAGCTTATATGAAAACTGGTTAAGGATTCAAAGCACATTAGCTCTGAAATATTAATCTCAACACCCAGACAAAAACAGGGAGGTATGATCTGCACAAAAACACTTTAAATCATGCCGGTTACAGTCTTCTTCCCCGCCCACACGCTCAGCTGCTCGCGGTGCACGCGTGCATCCTCTTGGCTACGTCATAGACGTAGGTGATGTCTGGCCGCTTCTCGGGATCTGGGTTGATGCACATATTCACTAATTGTCGTAGCTACAGAGAAAGAAAACAGAACATGCTTAGAAAACCATTCCAGCTAGTCACTAAAAATGAAGAAATTCTGAATAGCTGTTGATTTACAAGGAAAGTACATTTTCTGACTAAATATTCATTTGACTTGGAATATATATGACTGCTGCCAAAGATTTTACAATTATTTGAATGTTCTAAAGAGTATATTCATTGGTGAGTATTAATGTTAAGAAGTATTTTCTACAATCAGAGGCTTTAAAATGATCTTATTTTTCAGAGAAGTTTAATCAGAAGATAGTTTCAAAAAACAACAGTTTTAAACTAAAAGGTTCCAAATTAACAGAAGATATATACACATTTATTTAACCTAGAATTTAAATTTACTACATTAACCTTGATTGTAAGTTTAAGTATACTATATATCAAAATTTATATGAGGCCATTAGAGTAGATTAACTATCATATATTTATCATAAACCATTTTATATAAGCATAGAAAGTTCTCTTATTAAAGAAAAAGGACTCTTCTTAACTAAGAATAATAAATTACAAGCAAGGTGCATCGTGAATAGTATTCTAATCCTTGACTGTACAAATAAGTATGAGGGTCTTTACAGATAAGAGCTGAGGTTTACTCATTTACAACCAAAGAAAAATAGCACATCTCAGTAAATTAAGAAAATATCCCCCCATTTGGTCCTTAAGCCACTGACTAGAAGAACATAGGATTTCATTCTCAATTTTAATTGCCATCAGTTTATGAAATTACTTATCTTCAAAACACTGTATATGGTCTTTGACAAATAGAAGCCAAATCAAGAGAAGAGCCAGATTTTTTTGCTTTGTAAATGTCTTGAGGACATAGTATCTAAATTATTAGATACTTTGTAAACTTGCATTAACTTTTTCTGGCCAGTGTACTAGTATTTAGTAAATGTGGATGGTAATGTTACACCCACTGAGAGATCTGAGCATTTCAATTTATATTCCTTGCAATGCAGGAATAACATTAAAAATCCTTAAGGGGCACAGCAGTACACAAGGTATTTTATGATGGTGATGTAAGAGAAATTTTAATAAAAAAGAAGCTGTCATTTTATCCATTAACATAAAAACAAATATATCCAGTTACATATACGATACAGAAGACAGCAGGAAAAGCATTTATTAATATTACTTACACTTAAAAAGATAATGTGTCTGACAGGTCACCAAGTTGTCAGGCATCTTGTTAACAGATGAAAAAAGTAGAAAGGATGATAGGAAAAGGTAATTGTGGTACAAAAATTTATGACTTTAGCCAAAACACAACTAGGAGTGACTGAATAAAGCGGCCAACACCCTTCGGATCCACGCCGACCCAGTGACTTTCCTCTGGCTGCTCAGTAATGCAGAACAGGGTGCCACTGCCAACCTCCAGCCAGTGACTGTCCCGGAGCGCTCCTGCCATGAGGAGAAAGAGCCACGACAGGAGGCAGGGAGGTGCGAGTTCACCGGCGAGGGCAGCATCCTCCAGCTGCCCGAAGAGCACGGTGGGCACCAGGGGTGGTAAGGGGGCAAGAAGAGCCCAGGCAGGCAGGGCTGCAGCAGGTGCAGGGCGGCCAGCGTCCGCTCTCACTCCCCTCACAGGCCCAACGCCTGTCTGTGTGGAGCTGTCGTAAAGATTCCTTTCCCAGAGGAATCGTAATAAGTAACACAGTATAAAGTCAGACGTGACACACATGCACACCTCACTGTAGGTATGAATCAAATAATCTGTTGACACAAATTTTTCCTAAACCTTTGCTACATAATTGGTAAAATATGCAAATAAAATACCATCAAGTTAAATATGCCTCCACACTGACTCTCACTCCTTTGCACACTCACTCACACCAGCACTTCTGAGGGACACTCTGAAAGACACGACACGGCGTCTGAGGGCAAGGAGGGTGAATCCGACAGGACCTGACCACAAAGGGGGCCTCCCACCTAGGACGGGCTGAGCGTGGCCCGCCTCCCATCCCGATGGCCCGGCCCTGCCTGCCTCTCCTCGCCATTCACTCACTCATCCACTTACTCAACAAAATCCTGCTAAATATCATGTGCCAGACACTTCAGTCAGTAGCAAGGATAAAGCAATACATGAAACATTTATTTTGTTTAAAATAAATAAAACAATAAATGAAATACATAAGGTACCTGCTCTTATTCAGAGCAGAGAGACCATTTTCCTAAAAGCCACTATTCACTGAGTTCTTACTATGGATCAGGCATCACTCTGAACACTTTCACATGACCTGACTTACCAATCTTCGCCATCTCCTATGCGGCGGGCACTATGAGGACACACTTCCCAGAGAAGTAACATCCCTAAGGTCAAAGGCAGTGAGGGGCCGACCTGGATTCGGGCCCAAGCAGCCTAGCTTCAGAATACAGGCTCTCAGAGTGACCGCGTCACACGCCGGAGGAGAGCCCCCAGCTGGACGGCAGGTTCCCTCGCAGCCGCCTCTGCACAAAGGCGAGTGACCTTCCAGACAGGCCGAGAGAGCTCTGCGGCCATGTGATTCTCAGAAGAACCGCGGCTCCAACACTGGCTCTTGTGGTCTCTCAAATTACCAGAGCCTTTGGATTTCACAGGCCACCTCTGGCTGGATAAGCAGCCCAGAACCCCATCCAAGGCTCTGCAGGACTCGCAGTGGGACAGCAGCCAACTCCACCCGTGAGAGGCACCCCTGAACGAGGACACCGAAATGCTCGGCCCAGAGTCGTGGCCAGAGCGGCAATTTAATGTTCCCGCTGATGTGACTCATTCTTTAAGGTGACAGGGACTCCCTCCAAACAAATAAAATACATTTGAAATTTAACATGGAACAATTCCTTTACACCAGATTATAACTTACACAGTGACTTGATCAATCATAAAAAACATCTCTTCAGTTTTTTTTATCAGAAAGTCAGATATTATTATATTACCTTAGTTGTTCCTCTCAGTGTTAATCTTACTTTTTTTTAAAAGTCCCTGTAAATCTCTGGAACAAAGGGATTTTAAAAATCTTTAACAATTATCCAATACTTCACGATAATTCTAAGTACTATGTTACTAACCATGTTGAAGGAAAACATATGCTCATATAATAACTTAGGAATTTTACATGTTCCTCAATGTCAGCCTTTAATTTCACATATCACTAGGCAACTTTCTCAAAAAAATAACAAAACTGTGTTTGAATTGAGGGAATTAGGTGTCCATTTATTAAATTACAGAAATAATTCCCAAATCAGTAGATATTCCAAACATTAATAAATAGAAATAAACATTTCAGTTTGTTACATCAGAAAATTTGTTTAGTCTGCATTACTTCATACATGTTTGTATAGACATGTATTTTGCTGATTTTAAAAAAATAGTTTTACGTGACAAGTTAATAGCAAGGCAAAATAAAGGTCTGGTTATCTAAGAGCCTTTGCAAAGTCAGAGAAGAAAACACTGTTTAATGCAGATGCTTAAGGGAAAATTAAAAAGTAACACAAAAACATTTAAATGAGAAAAAAACACATAAAGTAAAAATAAAATGAATTCTCTATAACATTTCTAAAAGATTATGAAATCACAAGTCATATAGAAGTTAATGAATATTTGTTTTCAACAAAGTGAAGAAAATACTAACATATTTTGGTCTATGTATTCCTAAAGAAGCACCCAAGCATAAAAGTTGGTACCAGAAATATTACAGAAGAGCGTGTCAGCAGTCATTGTCGTCAGCAAGATAACCCAATTACGCATCAAGTTCAGTCACGTACAGGTAATAACAATAAGGCTCTTTGTGCATTACAGCTCTAGGTCACTAACACAATTCTCAGCAGAATAATAAAGACTGGCTCTTGGTACTGTTCCTCTTTCACCCCCACCTTAATCCCTCAGAGACCAATTATGTACTATCAGCCTTCCAGATATGCCCAATTTCCATCTACCCAAGGATGCATTTTAGCACCCCAAAGTGGGGCTAATACTTTAAAGTACACTGTATTTTGGGGCTTTAGGTATTTATACAAAATGATTAGGCGTATCCAGCTTGTACACCAAAATGTCACAACTGACTGACTTGGGGGTGGAGGGAAAGCAGAAGGCAATCTTAGACACAGGTAATGTGATGTCTCTGTCTCACAATGGAAGATCATTCAGTGCATCTTTTGTGAAAGTCTTACAGAAAGTTACATGAGTTTATGGTATCCCACAGGAGGTGGGGAATACAGGCCACCATTTTAGATTCATGTCTTCAAGGAGTAAGTCTCCACTGTCACTTCAGAAGCATAAGTGAACAAAAAGCCTGCTTAAATATACTTTTTAAACAAAAATGGAACATCTGAAACTTATTTAAAGATCTAATATGGCACCTTTAAGTAAGGTGGTCAACTGATATTATAAATGATACCATCTAACTTACTACCATTTTTAGGAAGAAAAACCCAATGTTATTACAAGTGAATTAACACTCAATATTACATTCATTTTAATAAGTAATGGCACAATTACATATTTAGTATTATTATGTACCTCTTTCTACAATTTAAATAAAATATTCCCATATAACTTAGCACTGGATTGCATAATTATAAGGACTACAGAAATACTTGTGAGAACAAATTTAGCCACAAACATTATCGATGCCACATAACGTCTCTCACTTAACTAAGTATTCTTGGGACAGTGTATTACAGCACCAATTTAAATCAGTTTGGTTGATTTCCTATAACAACTCCAGGGAATTTATAGAATTCAACTAAAATCTGTGAAATCTAGCAACTATAAGAATGAACTATTTAAACAGCTCAGATGAATACAAAATTTTTATAAATCTAGTTCACTTCAAAATATGCAAAAATACCCTGTGCCTGACACTTTAATCTTGTTCTTTCTTTTTCCTATTTACATAAAGTAGCTTTTTTATGAGCTAAAACAAAGGTCATATTCTTTGTTACCAATTCAAATTTCTTTAAAAGACTCTTTGGCATATTCTGAATTCAAATATAAACAGAAA